TGAAGAACTGGCTGACGCACCGACAGGAAGCAACGACACCCCAGAAGTCGCAGAAGCCGAACCACCACGCAACGACGGACGGCTTCCCATCATTATTGAAGAACCAGAAGCGGGCCTCGAGGCACATATGATGGAGGTGTGATATGCAGAACTGCAGGAATAGAGAAACCTGTTGGAGGCTACTCGAATAGACGACCTCTACACTGTACCAGCACATATGATCACCGACATCCGTGTGCTGGTCACAGTAGCTGAAGCACAGCTGGGGCACCTGCCTACGCGGGGTAGCCCATATGATATAGACACAACGGAGGCATATCATGTCCCGCTGTGCTCCGCGGGCGAAGATGACAGCTATTGAGCAGACTCTGGCGAGCACGGGCAATATGTACAGCTGTTTCACTGCAGACATGTCAATGGCAGTCTTATCCGAACAACGACGCAGGATACTGGACTTCCACCGTGCGACCACTATGCGAGTCTTTGTGACCGCTGCAGCTAAGCGGGTTGTAGCCGTCCAGGAGGACGACCTGCTCGCGAAGGCTGGCATCCTTGCGAATCCAGCCACGGTATCGAAAGGCCAGTATACCGAATCCAGACATGGCTTGTTGACAACAAGTGCTGCAGCACATCAGATATAGCAAAGGCGTCAAACATCAGGACTCCGTGTTAGGTATATATGTGGACATCTGTCAAGAACGAGAAGGGGGGATCTGGAATGTACCACCAGGCTACGCTAGGTACTTCGTGGATTCATGGACCTCGAAGCCTTCGACGTGGAGACCTACCCAGGAACGGCGCGGCGGTCAAGTCCGATGTTGCTCGCAAGCATGGCAGCGTGCAAGAAGCAACCAGCGTGCAAGAAGCAATGGGTCATTACTTCCCTGGAAATCAGCGCGGCTTTCTTGAGCGGTTTCACTTATCAGGAACGTGCGGAAGCATCCAGTGACACGCACCGCGTGGCGTGTTTTTTTTTCACTGCCGCTTTGTTCAACATCTGTGCTCAGATCCCGTCCAGGATGTGCGCACTACGATGGGTCGAAGCACTGCTTGCAGTGCCTCAAACCAGGCGCCCGCGATGCTCAGAAAGACCACGAGAGCGTTTGGTGTAAACCCACGTCCTACGATGAGGGGTTCGAGACAAGCTCTAACCATCTTACAGCCAAGCATGTTGATGACATTAACATGACTGGTACTGAGGACACTATCGGTAGGTATGTCAAATATGTTGAGGATACTTTCTGTAACCATAGATCAAAAAAGTACACATTAACAAATTGGGCTGTGAGGTGCACAGAGGATTGGGGCGGTGACGTTGCACTTCATCAAACGAGCATATAAAACAGCTCCGTCCCATCCAACATCCGGAGCTCACTGGCGCAGACGCTGGCGCCAAGGCATCGAAGGTGGCCACAGACATGTTCGTCAGCCTCAGAGGAGCCTTGGTTTACGCCCTAGGCACGCAGGTGTGCTTAATCGTAGATGTTGCATCTCTGTAGCGTGTCCAAGAACCGACCAACATGCAAGTGCGACGGCTGAGCGCGGTTGCCAGAAAGTTGCAGGCTTGCCCTGAGAAGATCGCGTACCAAGCGATGGCTCCAACGGGCGAGGTCGACCTGCGCAGCGACTCCGGTTACCGGCGTCTACGCAGAGATGCCGAGGACGAGGTCGAAGGCAATGGTTTTCGTTTGGCAAACCTGCTACGTCGTGGACACGCGCATGCCGGCAAGCCCGTCGTCCATCTGGTTGGCGCGCGCTGCGCAGGTCCGCTCGAGCTACTCAGCGGAAACACTTGCAGTGGCCCAGAACTTGAAGGACTGCTACCCCACGATCGTCACGCTGCGCGAAATTCACGCAGGGCCGCTGACGCCCACTCAGTTGAAATATGTCCCTGAGATGGGCGGCCTTAGCGTGGAGGCTACTTTGGCCATCGGTGCACAATATGTCTTCAAGTCCTCATCAGGCAAAGACCTGAAGAAACCTACTGAGTGTGCTCTTTTGCGACATCAGTTGGATATGGGAGATGATGGAGCGAGGTATCATTCATTGGTCCGAAAGGTACCCGTACCCGGGGACAGCCAGGGTGAGATGGGCCGTCCAGAGGACTGGGCGTTTGCTATTGTGCCTTGTCATCTTGCCCAGCGCGCGCCAGTGCAGCATCCGCGTGTCAAGACGCAACCGCGCGCTCGATGGTTGGGTGTCTGATTGCAGCGACAAGCGTTGGTTTTGTCAGGGACGTCTCGGGGCATCGTGGTGCGTGCGCGGCTCAAAGCCGCCCATATGTGGTGGCGCCTGTCAAAATTGATAACAAGATGCGTTTCCTCGCCATCATCCTGGCAACCAATGCGTCTGGGCATGCCCTGAGGAACGACGTTGCAATGTCACGCCCCCAGGGGGCCGCAGCGGCCACGTTGGGGGCGGTTCTAGAGGGCATGTGATGTGCTCGAGAGCGTTTTGGGCCTGCCGCCACTTCGGCTAGGTACGGGTACCTGCCTGAAACCACCGAAACATACCCGGACCTAGCTGGGGTGGAGCTGCGACACCCCGGCTGGGTACGGGTATGTTTTTGGGTTTTCTGGGGGCAACCGTACCTAGCTGGGGTGATCCGCGGACGGCCGTCCAAGGGGGGCGGCCTCTGGCGACCTCGCCCAGCGCTCAGAGCCGCGATGTCTCTGCATCGATCAATTCGCGATTGGGCGGTTGTCGCGCTGTGACGTTCGTGCCAGAGCTGTTCGCATGCACCCCTCAGTGCGCGTTGATTCCTCAACGCCAGGATATGTGTCTCTGGGGGCGCGCCTCCTATGCAGCTGGTCTACATCTACAGCAACCAACGCGGGGTCGGCCACTCCGCCGATTCGATCGCACGCGCGATCAGTGCGAACGTGCGCCTCGAGAAGACAGCGGTCTGCCATGCTCGATCGGCCGTCGCTTCTACACTTGTGCAGCCGCCGTCAGCTGCGACGAACCACCCCCCCGGACCCTTGCCACCCTGTCTAGGTAAGGGTACGGGTATCCTTCGCGCTCGAGAATCATGCATTGTGCGCAATGGTGCGAACCCGCGGCGCGATCGCGGATGGTCACGCCAAAGGAAGCATCGACAGAGACAAATTCTTACAGGCCAGGGGAGGAGCGCAATCCTTCGAACATGCTTTCAAACGACACAATCCATACAGGGCTGGCCAGACAAGATCGTCTCAACCGCCTGAGGAGCAATCGTCTGCAAGGCGACTTGCCTGCGAGACAACTTGCTTGCAAGATTGCTGGCGCGCGGGTCAACCTTCCTTTTTGAGCCCGCCTGCTGCTGCCTACCTTAGATATATAGTGTTTTGCGGTGTAGCAGGCGGCGCGCTCGCGCTTTCCCCCCCCCCCCCCCCCCCCCCCCCCCCCCCCCCCTCTTCGATTTTAAAGGGGGCTGGGGCAAAGGCGAGAAATGGCGAGCGTTTGTCCGCGGCCGTTTGTGCTCGAGCGGCCGGCCGCCAAAGTGTGACCGCGCCTCATCGCGAGGCGCGCTACTTGCCATTGAGACCGAAACGTATTCGCTTGACATGGCCCGTTGCTTCCGCGACGATCTCTTATTCCTGGGACTATCGCTACTACGGTGCAGTAGAGTTGGGCATGGGCTTCGCCTTAGACGATGCGCACGGTTGGGCCCCCCAGCCCCCTTTTAAATTTGCTCGGCTAGTCGGCGCGGGGCCGGGTGGCAACGGGGGTTGGTTTCCAGCGGGGCCCTGCGGCCGCCGCATCTCATGCGGCCCATGCGGGTGACGTGGGCGATCAGAATCGTGCGGTCCTTGCGGTTTGCGGACTTCATCGGGCCCGTGTGGAATATTCCGTCTCCGCTGGCCGAACGTTTCGCCGTCCGCGCCCAGGTGTCGCCCGCGTCCCTGCGCGCCTGACGCTCTGCAGAAGCCACACCGACAAGGGCGTCACCAGCACGCGAGCAGCGATTCTTTGTCTTTGTACGGGGATTGTTCCAGTTCTAGCCAGGCGGCACCATGCGATACAATCGCAGGCAACGATGGTTTGCCAAGGTTTCAACGGACATCCCGCTGGAAAAGGATCATTGCCCCCCCCCCTCTCCCTGTCCCTATCGTCCTCAATTGCGTGTCTGTTTTCCCTTGCGGGTTCGTTCTTCGGCTCTGCGTTTCTTCGTGCTTCTCTGTTTTTTGCGGCGCGTGCCTCTTCCATTTTTGCTCGCGCCGCACACGATGTGTGTTGCACGTTGTGCTTCCATGCTGCGAGGCACATAGCTCTGCATACGTGCCGTGTGACAGTGGGGCACGCCAGGCACATCGTAGGCCGGCATGGACAACGGCCGACGTTGAGTGGACCACTGGTCGTCGTCGCCGAAGTTTGTCCCAGTTGCATGGTTCTCATTCCGCCGTTTTTCCTCGTACAGTGGTGCCTTGGGCTTCTTGGTGTGCGATGCTCTTGGCATGGAAAGCGTGACGTTTCCACAGCAACGATCAAGGGATGCCCTGGAGTCTCAGGGTTGGGCTTTTTGTGCAAAGGCTTCTTTTGGTCGAGTTCCTACTGTACGTACCCCGTTTGTGTGCGCAGCGAGTTCCTGTCGCACCCTTCCCTTGCTCTTCCCCCCCTCCTCCTCGTCCTCCTCTTTGTTTTCCTCCTCCTTCCTTCCTCCTCCTCCTCCTCCTCCTCCTCCTCCTCCTCCTCCCTCCTCCTCCTCCTCCTCCTCCTCCTCCTCCTCCTCCTCTTCCTCCCTCCTCCTCTTCCTCTTCCTCCCTCCTCCTCCTCCTCTTCCTCCTCCTCCTCCTCCTCCTCCTCCTCCTCCTCCTCGTCCTCCAGTGGACGGACCCGCCGGTCTCGCGGTCTTGCCTCGGCTGCGGGGCCCGCGCATGCCCCGCACGGGGCTCCTCCGTGGGCTGCCGCGCCCTCCCAGCGGGGCCGCGCCCGCGGTGCGCAGACCGCGGGGGCGGTGACCGTGGACGCGCCCGTCGCCCGCGGGTGCCCGCGGGGCTCGCGGCGCCCTCCGCGCGCAGGAAATGCCATCGACGACGTCCCCGCGGCGCTCAAGCTCGTCAGGACGCCCGCGGTGCGCCTCGCTTCGGCGCGGCCCCGCGGCGGTGCCGCGCTGGACGTCGGCCGCTCGGCGCTCGGTTGGCCGCCTTTCTCCACCACCGCTTCGTGCAGGGTCCACGTCGAGCACGGTGATCCGATGCGATGTCGACGGCGGCCCGTGCGATGCGGCTCGATTCGGAGGTTCCGCGGCGCGCTGCCGTGGCGCAGCCGATCCTCTGCGGATCTCGACTCCGTGCCGATGCTGCCCGATCCGACGCACATTCCGTGATGGGCTTGTTTTCCACCACCACCACCATAAGTTGGAGGGGGGAGGAGGAGGAGGAGGAGGAGGAGGAGGAGGAGGAGGAGGAGGAGAGGAGAGGAGGAGGACCCCATCCCCCTCCAACTTCTGGTGGTGGTGGTGGTGGAAAACAGGCCCATCGCATCCATCATATCCGATTTCCCGACTGGATGCTCAGCCATCTTGCGCTCGTGCTGTTTTGCTCTGCCCCACCCCTCCGGGGGCACTAGGGGGCCACATGCGAACCCTACCCCTACCCCCACGATTTCAGAGGAGGAGTGTGGGGTTCACTTCGCTCGGGAGCTCCCGAACGAAGTAAACCCCACCATCCCCCTCAGAAGTCGTGGGGGGGGGGTAGGGGTAGGGTTCACATGTGGCCCCCTAGGGCACGGGCCCGCTCGCCCTGTCTCTGGGCCATCCCGACAAAAGGGGTCCTGTGCAGGCGGGGTCGGGGGGATCGCGCCGCGCCGTCGAGGCATCGGCGGTGCGGCTCGATTCGGAGCCCGGCTTCTCGATCCCGACGTCGCCCGATGCATCGCCGATGCGTCGACGATGGATCGACGTTGAAACAAGGAGCAGTTCGGTTTGGAGGGGGTTCGCCTATCATTCCTGTTTGTTGATATATCTATATGTATATATATATACACACAGATACATAGGTCCTTCCTTGTGTTTTTCCTTTAGCTCTCTTCGAGTATCCATGGGGCTCATTCATTATTTGTCGTTTGTTATGGTCGAGGCTTGACTGTATCTGCTCGACCCCCATGTGGGCAGCCTCCACCTAATGCGGTGGGAGGAGGAAGAGGAGGAGCTTGTCAGACAAGCCTGGGTAGAAGACGGCTCGCTCCAGAGCGTTCCGGAGCGCACTCAGATTGTCGGCGGAGCGCTTCGGATCGGCCAAGGTACCCAATACATCGTCTTAGACACGTCAGTTCTCAGAACCTCCTGATTCACCAATCTTGGCTCTCCTATGCGTAACTCGCGCATCCGTAATTCAGTGGCCGCCTCGACCGAGGTGCGATTGCCGCTCTGGTGCAGGTGTATATATATATATATATATATATCTCTTTGCCTGATATTGTTTTCCCCCTGCCGTCATCTTCACATGAAGGTCATTCCCATTTGTGGTCCTCATTGCAGCCCCTTTGTCGGAACAACTGGATTCGCCCCGAACTCCTGGTCAGGACGCCTCCCAGGAGGTCTTGGAGGGTCGACTTTGCCGGGAAGCCATACCTCCACTCGACTCGTGAACCATCGCGCAGGAGCGCTTGTGTGCAATTTTTTTTGTTTCGCTTCAGGGGCCGTTTCTGACTTCGGATGGGGATTCGGGGCCCGGGCATGGTGCAGAGAGCTCCCGAGGCTGCCCGCCTGGAATCATCGATGCGTCGGAGGTCTGTGGGTTCGGGGGCCGCTCGCGGTAGTTGAGCAGGGACCGATCGTCTTGGCATTCCTATAGTCTTCCGCGGAATGTTCTGAGGACCCAGAATGTTCTAAGAACAACAACAGTGCTCTGAGAACATAAACCCGATGATCAAAACAAGTAGTCTCAGCCAAAAGTGTTCTAATAACCTTACCACAACAGGTTCTTAGAGCATTCCTTGGTGGGCCTATAACCGAGCCAGGACGCTTCGCCACTGCTCCAGGTAGAGCCACAGCTGTTGGGGAGAAGGCCGGCTTCGGTCTTGGAGAGAGGCTCGAGGCTCCCCGGGCCCCTCTCTGTGGCCCTCCCCCTCTCTTTGGGGGTTTTGCTGTACGAGCAGTTTTTGATTGTTCGTTCAAAATCCGCCTGTAGGAGGAGATGTCCGACCTAATCTTTGGGGCCTCCCCCCCGCGCTCTCGCGCAGCTGGGCGGAGGCACAGGTGCCCTCCGCGCCCCGTAGAGAACCCTGCGAGAGAGCGCCGCGCCCCCTGTGCAGGGTTAAGTCGGGCCTGTCCCTGAAGAGGAATGTTCAAAAATAGTGAAACAATCCGCTGGGGACGATTTTGTGCTCTGAGTATTGTTTATCTTTCGGCCGAACTCCGCCTGTAGGGGGACGTGCCCGACCGAACTGTAGGGCCTCCTGCGGCAGGGCTCGCGGCGGCAGGCCGGGTCAGCCGCGAGGGCGCGCGGGAGCTCGGAGGAGAAAATGGTACCCATACCGCTACCCTTCGCCCGTTCTCCACTTTTTCCTGTGGGTAGGAGAGTTGTGTGGTGTAAAGGGGTGTGGTGTGCCAATGCTGGATCTGGCCAGGTTATCTATTGTTGATCACATCGTGAATTTCCACGATTAGCACCACACCCCGTTATGACACACCCCTTTCCGACCTCAGGATTTTTGGGCCTCCTCGGAGTCCCTCGTCGCCACCGCTGGAACCGCCTCGAAATTCTGGACAGAGCGCACCCTGGGAGAGGTCTGGGGAGTAGCGGTATCGGTACCTTTTGGTCTCCCCAGGACCGGGCAAAAAGCACATCCGTATCCTCGACCCCGCCCATACGCGGCGTTTTGTTCGCGGATGCCCCGCGCGCAGCGTATCCGTGCGACCGCGTAGATCCGCGAGACCGCGCCCTAATTATAGTTCAAAACGCGAAGGCGTTGATGTGGAGCGTCCGCTGCTTGTGGGCAGCCGCGCCCTCCTCCTCCTCCTCCTCCTCCGCCTCCTCCTCCTCCTCCACCCTCCTCCGCCTCCTCCTTCTCCTTCTCCGCCTCCTCCTCCTCCTCCTCCTCCCCCTCCTCCTCCTCCCCCCCTCCTCCTCCTCTCCTTCTCCTCCTTCTCTCCCTCCTCCCTCCTCCTCCTCCTCCCCTCCTCCTCCTCCTCCTCCTCTCCTACTACTACCTACTACTACTACTACTACTACTACTACTGCTGCTGCTACTACTACTACTACTACTACTACTACTACTACTACTACTACTACTACTACTACTACTACTACTACTACTACTACTACTACTACTACTACTACTACTACTACTACTACTACTACTACTACTACTACTACTACTACTAACTACTACTACTACTACTACTACTACTACTACTACTACTACTACTACTACTACTACTACTACTACTACTACTACTACTACTACTACTACTACTACTACTACTACTACTACTACTACTACTACTAACTACTACTACTACTACTACTACTACTACTACTACTACTACTACTACTACTACTACTACTACTACTACTACTACTACTACTTCACTCCCATTGAGGCGGGCCGCAGTGTCTGATCATGCAAGAGAGCACGGGCCTGGTTGAAGCGGAGCTGCATGAAGTGACCCCGCCTATCCTGACCTGACCCTGCCCAGCCCTCCCATTATGTCTGCAGCGTAAAAGGCTGCAGCGACTCGGGGACCTCTCCCTGTAACGAGGCCTCTGATACAGCTCGAGAGAACAGAGCATCTGCTGCGAGAGCGCAGAATCTCGGTGGGAGTTGGAAACACTCCCCCGCCGCAATGTGGCCTGCTGCGTGGCGGCAACGGCCTCTTCCCATGAGAACATTGAGGGAGTCAGAAAAGGCACCGAGGTTGAGAGCTAGGACATGGGATGGATGCTGTGCCGATGAGCCGAGGGTGCACATGTCAATATACACACGAGCTGACTCTTGACAGCCTGCAGTCCCTCGGAGTGACGCGAGGAACTTTAGCTCTGGGAGCTCCCACGGGCACGCGAGAGGGGCGGAGGCGCGCGGGGGGGGGGGGGAAGGGAGATGCAACAACACACTGGTTCCAATGAGAGCTGCTTGCCAGCATATAAGTAGCACCGCTCTCAAGTGCGAGTTGTCGGCTGTAACTAACTCCCAGCCTCTTGCATTGCAAGTTGCGAGACCCCATGGCGCGAGTTTGGATCTCAGTATCTTGCGGCGATTCGTGGGCTGTGCTCTGTCATGGGACCAGCTGTCGAGATTGAGGAACGCCACAACACCCACAACACGCCCGTCACGCAGGAGGGAGAGGAAGGTGGAGATGGCATGGTCCCACAAGAGCTGCCCCTTAGTCCAATACCTTTCCTCAGACATGTCTACGCACAGGACTGGGAAATGGGTTCCCGATGTGCGCTGCCTTGCCATTAAGAAATGCGGGATATCCTGCGCATGTCGGGAAACAAGGAACGATACATATGTAGTAGCATGCCCTGCCCTGCGGGAACCTAGGCACTGGTATGACTGGATCGCTGGCCTGCACACCCCTGTACATGACTTTGTGGACGGGGAAAGAGGGAACTCCAAGGAGGCAGGGGCCAAAAATCCTGAGGGGGGGGGGGGCTTGCCGATCTCTGGATATAAACCTGACTTACGGAGCTGCTTATATTCTATCGTGTCATTGGCGTCCTCAGCTGCTAGCTCCTCTGTCGTGAGCATGCGTGTGTGCGTGTGCGAAAGACCTGAACACCTCGAGAATCCGTGCCTCACGTGCCTTAGGAGCCTGGGGCGCGTGCGGAAATTCTTGCCGCATGCCTGGCAGGTGGCTCCTGCACAATACCATATTGCCGTGTCCAGCTGTGGGTGGTCCCTCGACCTGTGTGCTGCCCACTATGCGGCAGTGGTCAGGACGGCATCACAGTCCCAACAGGGGAACACTACTGGGAGAGGCGGGGAGGTGAGGAAGGGTGGGTCTGGGGCTGCGACGTCACGTGTCACACGCACAAGCCGTTCGTGCCATGCGTTGTGTGCCAGACTGTCAAGGTGCTGCCTAGATGCGTGCGCCTGTGCTGCCTTGACAAGTCCTGTCCACTTCCTGCGAGACTGCCTAATGAAACACATCCAACCTGCTGTTGGGGGTATCGGCCTGAGCGAGCTTGGGAGGTCCACCATGTATGCCAGCCACAATAGATCCTCCTCAATGAGCTTGGCCCATGGGTCCGCGTGCTTCGCTGCTACATCTAGTAGGGCACACGGCATGCGGGGGGCATGGTGGAGGAGCCTAGGGAGGTATGCGAGGCGACGTAGTCTGACATAGAGACGCGCAGGCAAAGCTTGGGCCTCTGACAGGACTCCTGAGGCTGAGGTGAGGCTTGCAGAGTCACCCTTATAGTTCAGCTTGAGTGCCGACCTGTAGCATTGAATGTATTGTTGTTCTAAAAGCTCGCTCTGCTTGACATTAAGGCGAGTCCATGCAGCACAGTTGTGTAAAAGGCGTGTGAGACACAAGGCTCGTACGTAGCGCATGTTGCGCTCTGGGTTAAAGTATGCTGGCTTAGAGACAGACCGTTTTAACACTCCAAGAGGCCCCAACATCTGCTTGCACCTATAGGCCAGCTCAGGGCGCATGCCTGACAGAGAGCTCGGTTGTCCCCCAAGATGTTTGTACTGATCGGTGATGGGTAACTGTATGCCATATTTTTCTATATCCAGAATCTGTCCAGGAAGGGCTGCCAGCTGTCGTTTGGCGGTCCGAATCTGCTTGCCCGTGAAGAGTTCTAGAGCTTCTGTTTTTCCTGGAGCGTAATTGATCGTGAAGCCTCTCTTGACCATCTCCTCATGTACCACCACTGTCATGAACCGTAGTGTGGTGCTCCATTGTAAAACATCCCTGACCGCGCCCATGGTGAGGAGGTCATCAACGTATCCTGGACCTCGAATTGGGTCATCGCCATCGTCTTCGGGGTTGCTGAAAACCTGTGGGACCTGAGGTAGTTCATGCATGGGTAGTAAATACTGGGCCTGCTGTAATCTTTCAGTGCTATTAAGCTGTATGGGTCCGAATACCAGGTTAAAGAGGAAGCCGGCCAGTGCCATTCCTGGGCGGGAACCTGACAGGGACTTCGCAATCAATGGGCATCCATTGACCTGGAACCATGTGTGCTGAAGGGTTTGGGCTGCTGCATCCGCTAGGTGGGGGTCCATGAGGGAATTCAGCATGCCTGGTCTAGCTGCTGCAACTTCTGCTAGGGGCATTAGGGCCTCAGAGACTTCAGCTTTTTGGAGAATCCTTGTGTTAACATCCTTGTCCTGGCCAAGCTGGGTAAGGTGTGCTCTGAGCACGCTGTAAAAGGCGGCGCGCAGGTCGGTAAACAAGAGCAGCGCCGTGAACCCACTTGCCTGGCACGCCTGCATGAAAGTCCTTGCGATCGTGGAAGCGATGTCTGTACCTCGCTTCTGGAGACCTCCCATCGTCATCTCATGTAGGAGGTGGCCGGTGGCCTGCAGCAGCTTGCCTCTGAGGAATGCATGGTGCGTCTTGGCCACGTGCGAACCCAGGAGAATCTCCCGATACGACGACATCAACCTTGGATCGCCCTTCTTAGGTACCTCCACCGCCCATCCTCCTTTCAATGCCAATGGTTCGCGCGTGGCCAGACCTATCTTAACAAAAGAGGGTGTAGCAGTGCCGCGAAATACTCTGGATCCAACTTGAGGAGGTCGTTAATTCTGTCGTCGGGCCCCCCAGCTCTGCCTCTTGTGGTCCTGCGGATCCTGCGGGCGAGCCAGTTGAGCGGCATGATGTTATCAATAGTCCTAGTGTGGGCCTGTGACGGGATCTTTGAGTTCTGATTATAATCCATGATGAGGTCTTCCCAATCGACGATGTCTGCATTCTCGATGTCTCCGAAGAACTTCAGGACCTCCTGGGCGAGCTCCTTGGAAGACTGGATGAGGTTCCCTTGGGAGTCCATCCGAATGGGGAAGTCCGTGGAGCCTTTGGGGGGGCGGCCTCCGAATCTCTGAAGTTGGCGGAGTATCTTCCACTCAAGCCCTGGGTTGTAGGAGTCCGCTGCGGCTTCAACCTCCAGTGACAATTGTTCGAGGATGTGCTCTCTCGCCTCCCAGAGGAGTCTCTTCAGACAATTTCCAGTGTCGCGGAGGCACTGCACAAGCACCTCGATCAGCTCATGTATGTGGATATTGTCTGCCTTGCAATCTGCGATGCCGTCCGTGACGGCGATGGTGCGCAACTTGAAACAATCAGGGAGTTGATCGTAAACTGGCGACCCGACGTCCAGGTGCATGAGGGACTGCTCAACTGCACCGCCGTCCAGGCGCCTCCATGTCCTGAGAATCTGCCTGATCCGTCTTCTGTACTGGATGGCCTGTAGGAGGTCTGGGGTGATGTGGGGCTTGATGGGAACCTTGTTAGATGACGGGAATGCTTCTTGTGCGCAACGTAGGACATGTTTGTGGATGTGCTTGAAATGCTCGTTCATGTCAACATGTGCGTGCACCTGCGGAATGTCACGTATCATGGATCGAAGGAGCTGCACCTTGTCGGCGTCCTGTAGGCCTCCGGTAACTTTGCGCGTGCTACTGGACAGGATAGCACACACAACTGGCAGGTGATCCGAGAGCGCATTGAGGTCATCCATGTCGTGCAGTACAGTGTGCTGGTATACGCGCGCTGACCATGTGCTGTCCATACATATGTAATCGATGCGGTGCTCGTTGCTTTGGTTGGCCAGACACGTATAGGACTTATCTGTTGCCGATACGGACAAGGTATTAATGGCCATGAGGTTGGTCTCTAGGAGCATTGCATGACGAAGCTCGCCTCCTGCGTCCTCATTCTGTCGGTGCCCATGTGGGCCAACAGCATCTGAAAGTATGTTACCAACTCTTCCGTTGGCGTCGGCAAAAATGAGTTGCGCCTTGAAATCATGGCACAGTCTGGTAGTGTCCGCCCACCACACGGTCTGTTATTCAATGCCATGGTCGCCGTGCGGGGCATGCAGAACCATAGCTACCAATGTGAGCATGGGGGCATCGATCTTGACAATCAACCTGCGGGGGTCTTCGTAGAGGCCTACCAAGTGCTTGCACGTGAGGTACTTGGGGGGCCCGTCGACGTAGACGTATGGGGCGCTGGTGGAGACCCAGAGCTCGCAGCCCAGATTGCCTTTTTGAGCCCCCGAGGCCAAGATGATGAATCCCTTGGAGGTCCTCTTGCCCGAGACATTCCTGGCTTCCTGGATGCCCACGAGGAGGTAGTCCTGGGCAAGGATCTGGTTCCTGATGAGGTCTCCTTTGCGGTGCCCTTTAGTCCCCGTGGTCCCAGGCTCTCTGTCCAGCGCCGAGCATACATTGTATGTCATGACCTGAAAATTGAACGTGATGCTCGCCTTGCTCTTGGTCGAGGTCATGCCTTGCTCAAAGGGAGGTTCGTCGCAGCGTACCTCCTTGTGCGGTAGCCTAAACTTGCCACCTGCCTCTGGGAAAAAGGGTACGCCGCGAGCATGCTTGGGGTGGCGAACTTGGTCCAGCACCAGTCTAGGGCAGGTGAGTAGCGGAGCTCATTAATCAGGAAGTCCTGGTACCTGGTGACTTTGGCATCCTCGGACTTCGCTAGACTATCTGCGAGCTCATTCCACGGGTTGTTGGCGTGGCCTCTAACGTGCACAATATTCATCCCCAGGGTCCATTTGGCTAGCATCAGAGCGTCCCTGGTTGTTGGAGGCCCCGAACTCCCCATTAGCTAACCCGATTGCTGATGTAGAGTCTGAGAAGATGGTGAAGGCAGGTCGGCTGAGTTCAGGATGTTTCAGCTGAGCGGCAAAATAGCCTAATGCCCAGATGGAGGCCCAGAGTATCCCAAAGAGCTCCACCGTGGTACTAGATAGTATGGTGTCCCTCCTCCTCCTCCTCCTCCTCCTCCTCCTCCTCCTCCTCCTCCTCCTCCTCCTCCTCCTCCTCCTCCTCCTCCCCCCTCCTCCTCCGCCCCATCCACCCCCCCCCCCTCCCCCTCCTCCTCCTCCTCCTCCTCCTCCTCCTCCTCCTCCTCCTCTTTGCTCCGCTGTCCGGGCCCAGAGAGCTGCCCCCTTCTCCAGCCGGGGGTTGTCCGCGGCCGCGGCCGCGGCTCCGCGCCGCGGCTCGCCGCGCTCGTGGGGCGTCACGGTGGCAGGCGCCTTCAACGTGGCCGCCGCGCCGCGGCGCCCTCCTCGCATCGAGGACAACTGTCGGGGGTGGACGGACCTCCTTCCCTGACACGTCGATGAAAGAATTGGCCGTTTTCGGTTCGCGAGAGGGCGTCGCGGCCGTCATTATTGCGGGTCCAGGTCCGTCGGTTTCGGTCCCAGGCCGTTTTCACTTAGGGGAGGTTTACCAAAGGGAGGTTTGACCACCGCCGAAAAAGGAACCCCTAACCCTAGTATTCAGTCGGGCCTGTCCTTCTACAGGAGGAATATGCAAACATGGCCAACAAAAGAGTCCACTGATTTTTTCCAGCAAAACAGCCAACAAAACAGCAACCAACAAAAGTAAAACATTTCTTCCGAGTGCTTTATTTTTTCGTCCAAGATCCGCCTGTTGGGGGACACGCCCGATTTGACCGTAATAGCACAGTGAAGACGTGGCCTCACTGAGGTCCCCGTCTTTGCATTAGGGATCGTAATTCTGGGCGGTTTGGTTCGATACGTCTGCAGAAGAGATCCCTGTCCCCTGATGTTTCTGGCCCTCTGGACTCAGGGTGCTCTTCTGGTTCACCCTCCTCGGTTCGCTCCTGGCTGCGTGCGATTCTCTGGCCCTCCCAGCTCCCAGATGGGGTCGGAGTGGATCGGGTCGGAGCATCGCGCGGCTTCGCCGATGCGTCGGCGATGCGGCTCGATGTAGAGCCCGATGTTCTGCACGCCGACGCCGGAGGCGCGAGCGGGCGGGCCGTGCTGGCACTGGCGCGGGCCGGCGGCCGCTCGCCCGGCCTCGCCCTGTTTCTGCGCGCGAGGAGGCACGGCGTGGACTTGAACGCCTGCGTGGATGACG